GGGGGGGGGGGGGGGGTTCTTGATGTAGTGTGATGCAAAAGAGATTGGATTTGAACTTACAATATGAGGATCAAAAAGGCAATTGACCAAAAGAAAAGAAGAAGGCCAGTAAAGGAAACAAACCTGTGCAAGATAGCTGTTCGTAAAGGAAAATGGAGCAGTATCAAGAGCAGTACCTGTGATGCAAATACAGTAGAAGGCACCTCCTCTTTATTTGATGATTGTACTGATGCAGTTGAAGAACGAGAGTCACAACTCGGATCATTTCCGTCCAACTTGTGTACTTGACCGTTTACCGTCGTTTCGGTTTCATTGCCATTCTTAACCTTCTGAACATATGCAGTTCATTCTTCAGAACTAATATGTTAACTAAATGAAAGGATCATACTACATATTAAAAATATTGGTGAGCTGTAGTACCTGAAAAATTTTGCCAAGAGTTTTCAACCCCTTTGCACGAGCACGAAGCTCTTCTTTCTTCACATTGTTGTCTTGTAGAACCTAAATAAAGCAATGAATGCTAAAATAACGAAATAAAAACAATACAATACAAAATAAGTCACAAACAGAACATGATTAAGTGTGAACAACCATTTGACAAACACGAGAAAGGGTGGCTTCAATATCAGCTACATTGAGCTTCCAGAGAGAATCAATCATTAACTTCTTGTGGGATTGCATATACTCTTCAAGTTCTTCCTCAGTGTAATTTCCTTCTGTACTGAGCTGCCTTTTCATGTCCTCTTGTAGCTGAATCAAAGCAATTGCACCTAGGAAGCAATGAATTTATTTTATTTCAGAAGAACATTACCATAAATATCGCAATCAAGTACTACCACTCTACACGTTGGCTGGCTGGAAAAATGCGAGTTGATCACAATTACATCAGCTATAATTGAGGACACATTGTGATAGAAGTGATGCAAGAAAGACCCAAAAGCTTATTTTCAAACCTTGCAATTCCTTTTTGATAAGTGAATGGATTAAAAAAGACGTTTTGGAAAGCATTGATGAGGTAGAACTATTTAAATCAATGTACCATTTTTCTCTTGTACTTTAGATTGTATATCACCCAAAAAGACAATCAGAAACATGTAAGAGAAAGGAATAAGATTTTTCCAACAACAGAAAGAATGGAAGTCAAAACACGTTAAAGATAAACACCTTCATAGAATGTTTATACCAAAAATAGACCTCACAATCCAGAACAAAGACAAAGAGGAACAATGTTCAGAAAGTATTTCCAATTTCAATTGGTCCTTACCATAGCCTCCATGTGCAGACGTCATTTCTGGTTAGAGATAGTTGTGCAAGCTGAAAACTGAGAAAAAGTTTAAAACTATTTTGAACTCATATTTTTACTTCATAAAATTCCTCAGCCTGATACTCCTCTCCGAATTTCTCTATACTATCCTACTGTCAAACCTAAGTCATCTAGGTTATATCACATATCAACAGAAGCAAAAATTGGTTAAAAATTTTTTTTGGACTAATTAAACCACAAAACAGAATGAAGAGGGTAAACACCGTAAGGAAGTATTCTTTCGTAAGCTTTTTGCTAACCAAGCATTCTTTCGTAAGCTCTATGCACACATTAATATACAGATTGAGCAGAGAAGGTGCAAATGGTTTATCCATTTGGGAAATAAGAAACACAAGGTTTAACCATACACCACTGCTTAAAGCCAGCACTATGAACCTGTTGCAGCAGTTACTTGGGATTTGATAAAATGGCCTTTGTTTCTGAACCACTCAGCAATAAATGGAACACCCAAGTATAATGCCTTCTTTCCAAGCTCTTTAGCTGCCTGCCTTGCATATATGTATCCAATTGTATTTAACATATCAACACCATAAGCTGTTACCAAACATTGAGTTGATGAGAAAAGATTCTATAATCATAGCAATGTCAATAAAAAGTCACCAACAAAATATCATGAAAGTCAAAGCTAAAGAGTTGAGAGGGCATGCGCGGAAAGGAGATTGCAGATCAACAGGGAACATAAGTTGTAGAATAAGACCAGACAGCTTCAATGGATACTTATACAACAACAGCTACTACGTGTCAATTCCAAATGAGCTGGAGTCAACTACATGAAATTATGCATCATTAATATATATCTACTCCACTTGGATCTGTTTCATTCCGATACTCAATAATTTGCTGCATCCTGATATAATGTTTCGCATAAAATCATATCATGTTTTGGTAACTGCATAAGAAAAACAATTGTCCCATAACTACAACTTCTTGTTGGCTGCATAAAAGAAAATAGTCTCGACATAACTAATGTGACATTTGGTTGGCGGTATTAAGCTTTATATTCACATAACTTTATACAGGAATCTATACATTATTCTATGTGGGGAAAATATGGAATAAGAATACGCGCATTAGCAATACGTGGATAAAAGTATTTAAAAACAAAATGCTTCTAAGTAGGTAATCCCCTACATAATTATTCACTATATAACAATCCTTGCGTTATTGTTTACCCCATACGAACATCTATATCCTTAGTCCTTACTCATACCATGAGCAATATTTTAAACAGCCTCTTGCAGAAATATAGGGCAAGGCTGTGTACAATAGACTCTTGTGGTCCGACCCTTCCCCGGACCCCGTGCATAGCGGGAGCTTAGTGCACCGGGCTGCCCTTTTTTTTTAATCCTCACATACAGGCCTATGAACCAAACAACCCCTAAGGTTTTCTATGTTTTTGTTACTGACGTACAAATTTCTAAACAAGAAGACACCAGAATCAATGCAAGTGTACCAACACTATTAAACTCGCAGCCCATGATACAGCTGTATATGCATATTGCTTGTACCTAGCCCCTTATGTATCAACATTTGGCAAGGTCAGAAAAGCACTTCAGTACGAAAAGGGGTTGAAGGAATAATTAGTAGGTATGAGAATATAACCTGCATTTGAAAGCCTCGACACCTCCGCTTCTGCATGACGAACAAAGTCCTCTTTATTTCCTTGTACATACAGATTAAGCCGGTCTTTCAAAGTTTCAGCAAGCTTTTCTTCCCTCTCCCTCTGAACAACCTGTGTTAGATTAAGAAGGAAAGAAGTAAATTTGTACTTAGCCATAGCAATAGTAAACACATAAACCGATACAGCTTCCACGGCATACAGTAAACTCCAGCCCAGAGTTGATAGACCATCTGACTCATAGTACTCCCTCCGTTTCAATTTAGATGAGGTAGTTTGACTCGGCACGGAAGCTAAGAGAAAAAAAGACTTTTGAAACTTGTGGTCTTAAAAGCTTTGTGGGGCCATGACATTTGTGTGGTTATAAAAGCTTCTCATTAATGGTAAAATAGGTAAATGAAAAGTTTAAAGTTGAAACAGAGGGAGTAGTATCTTTTTTATCGAAAAATATGAGATCCAACAAAGTGTGATGTAAAGATGCAATGCACTGACTGTTGTGAAGTCAACATCAAATTCTTTTTGGTATATCATGCAATGTGACATCATTGATTAACTTCTAGATAATATAGTAGAGCAGGATTGGCAAATACATCATCCGAATAGTAAAGAAAAGAAAACTGCTGTCTTGGAGGCGCTTTACGCCCATTAACAACAAAATGACCGCACAGGTTTTTAAAGAATATAGCTTGAAAGGCATAAGATAATTAGAAAGTTCTTGTTATAAGAATTTCAACCAGTGAATTGAACTACAAAATAGACAAGCAACAGATAAGCTGCCTGAACAATTTCTTAGTTCGGACAATGAAAAACCAGATCCTTCATATCACTCGACAGAGTTCCAATATGTCACATGCCATTCCTTCTCTACTTGTCAGCCAAAATATTTTTATAAAAGAAAACTTGTTATTTCTTCCGATTCCCTATTCTTCCTTAATTAATTAATGTATCATCAGTTCAATTGACACAATATAAGGCCTTATGCAGACATGTCCAAATCTTTTGAATCCTTTCCCTTAATTCACGCTATTATATTATAGGGCTTCTCTCTCTTCTTTTCGGGAAAATAGCTTTTGTTTTAAAAGTAAAAGAGTGAGACACCGTGTGGGATTCTATGTTTAACAAATCAGCAGTTAAGATCATGAACATGACTGTTGTTTCTTTCATACAAGCATATACTTATAAGTGCCACTATAACCATTTCTCAAGCTCCTTCTCAGTTTTTTATCTTTTTGCAAGCTTAACCCCATATATACATGAAGTCAACAAAAATGTTAGAATTCAATTTTCATAAGCAACAATCTTAGAATTCATAAAAGCTAAATGAAAATGAAGAACTATACCCGCATTTTCTCTTGCAACTTTTTAGCATCAAAATCTTCACCTTCTGTGAAAATATCCAATGAAGCCATTGATGCCATAGCAAGCTGACCTATGTACTCCTCAAAAAGTTCACTTCCAAAAAGCATAGCAAAAATTGCTGCAGGATCAATGATTGCGTCTCTGCAAACAATTCAAAGCACATAAGTTTGAATTAGCAGATAAATACTGAATGAAACAATTGACATAAGAGCATACCTGTAAGTTATATATACATACTGGTCCCAAATATAAATTGTACTATGACAAATACAAATGTGCACGTATCAATACTACAAGAGCGAGAAATTACGTTGAAATTCCTGATTTTCCATGTGCATCATAGGCCTGTCGTTGAGTTGGATCGCTCAGTACTTGATAAGCCTCACCCAACACCTGCAACAAAGGAGAAAACAAGAATTTGTGAAGGCAATAGCACATGAAACCACAGAAGATTCATTGCACAGATCATATCACTAGTTTATATCTCTTATCAGCAGGTTATATCTGACTTGAATTTTCTCAAAAAGATCTGCGGATTTGAACAAACAACTGCACGTTTTTGAGAGAACAAGAATTTCATCAATGTGAAGATAACAGCTTAGGAATAAGTTCTAAAAGTACTCTACATACTAGGAGTCGTGGGAAACAATTGAAACCTGTTTTACAATTAAATGATAAAAACACTTATACTACAAAGATTACGAACATCTAACTAGGTTTTGACTTAGACCAGTTGACAAGCACAAAAGTGACTGGATTGTCAATCAGTTTTCAAATTTTCTCTCAACTTTGGACCCCATTGTATTATTTTTTGATGAAGTAATCATTTTATTAATGAAAGCAAAAGAAAACGTACAAGAAGTATTACGAAACGTAGAAACCTAACAAAGAGATATGATTTTCTACAAACGACACCCAACCATTTATACAGGAAACTCGTGGGTCCACCAAAAAGTAATAAGGGATAAAAGGTTATTCCTCAAGTGTACAAAATCATTCTCTACTCCTTCAAAGCGCTTCTATTTCTCTCTTTCCATATGGTTCACATAAGTGCTAGTGGAGCAACCTCCCACGCCCTGCATCTTCTCTTCCCTCTTCCATCCAGGTAACACCAACTCTTTAACCATGTGTAGAACTGTAGCATCAACCACTGGATTCCAAACCAACTTGATATTTCTCGCCACAAGCGAGACACTACCAGATAATGTAAAAGAGGATGACTCACTTCTTCTCTATTTTATTTTACTACAATAAACTTTCAGTTCTTAGAAATGATAACCTCAGATCAAGGTGTAAGTACCACAAATAGAGGATAAATGAGAAGTCTTCTTAAAAAATTTGACTATGTCCTATATAGACCTCTAGACAATATGATGATTGAAGGAGATAAATAAGGACAAGATAAACCAAATCACACAGAAGGAAATTGTCTCAAAAGACTTATAAATCTCATCGAATCAATGTGGCTTACCTAAGACCAAATGCAATGGAAGCACTACATTCATATAGGGATACCAACTAGATGTAATTAAATTAGTTATTCGTGTATGGATAAGTGTGAGACTTAGAGAACCCTAATTTGCATTTGAAGGCAAATTATTTAGCATTAAATGAAAAGAACCTAAATAGGGTGGAATGATTATAGAAAATTCATCCCAACTGATTTGAGATCAAAGTTTGGTTGATTGATCGATTGTAACTTCCAACACTAAATTGTATGTAGAAATATGAAAAAATGAGCCATACAAAATGACATATGATAGATAAGATAGAAAAATATATATGTCAGTTGCACCATTGGGATTACCCACCTTGTACAAGAGGATGCGAAAAAAGCAACATATAGCTTACATTTTGCAACTCATCCAAAAAAAAAAAAACTAAATGATCAGAAGGATTCAAATTTATTTAGTTACAATTAGTGTAGGTCATATTTATTTGAAACAAGATTCAAGAATATTCAAAAACTTTAGCCATAGTCACATAACTAGGCCGGTAGAAGTAAGCGATGCCATGAAAATATATAACAAAAACAACAACAACAGACCCAATATATTTCCACAAGTGGGATCTGGGGGGAAGTGTATACGCAGGCCTTATCCCTACCTAGTAAAGGTAGAGAGGTTATTTCCAATAGACCCTTGGTGCAGAAAGGTGAGAAACAAGAAGACGAAAAATAAACAAGGAGGAAGAAAAGAATAAGTAGTACCAAGTAGTAATAACAGGAAAATACGATAATTGAGGCAAGCTAAACAATATGACGTAATAAAGATCTAAGAATATGAAGGTACATAAGTGCAACTAATACTACTGGACGGAAAAGGAGAAACTATCAACTACCAACTAACCTTCTACCCTAATTCTCGACCTTCACACCCTCCTATCAAGGGTCAGGTCCTCAATAAGCTGAACCAGCGCTATGTCTTGCCTAATCACCTCTCCCCAATACTTCTTTGGTCTACCCCGGCCTCTTCTCAGATCTGCCATGACCAACCTCTCACACCTCCTAACGGGAGCATCAATGTTTCTTCTCTTAACGTGCCCGAACCATCTCAACCTCAACTCCCGCATCTTGTCCTCCACGGAGGCCACTCTCACTTTGTCCCGAATAACTTCATTCCTAATCTTATCTCTCTTGGTACATCCGCTCATCCATCTCAACATCCTTATTTCTGCTACTCTAATCTTCTACACATAGGAGTTCTTTACTGACCAACACTCAGCCTCATACAGCACCGTCGGTCTAACAACCACTCTGTAGAATACCCTTAAGTCTTGGCGGCACATTCTTATCACATAGAACAGCGAGCCTCCATTTCATCCATCCCGCTCTACTATGATGTGCGACATACTCGTCAATCTCCCCGTTACCTTGGATTATAGACCCAAGATAACTTGAGTATCAAGTTTCACATCCACGTCCGCTTCATGAGTCCCGTCACTGAATTTGCACTCCAGGTATTTTGTTTTGGTCCTGCTCAACTTGAAACCTTTTGATTCCAAGATTTGTCTCCAAACCTCCAAACTTGTGTTGACCCCACCTAGCGTCTCGTCGATTAGCACTATGTCATCAGCAAATAACATGCACCATGGCACCTCCTTAGATGGAGTCCAAAACCTAAATGGCAACTTTTTGGACTCAAAACATGTTTTTACAGTTAAAAAAAGTTACTTTTCTACCTAAAACGCGGTATTATACTGCATTTTACTTTAACGGAATTTTAGCCGTTAAAGTAAAACGCAGTACAATACCGCGTTTTACATATAACGCAGTATTATACTGCGTTTTGCCCACATGACCCATGTGAATTTTCCAGCTTTTTGAAATGGCAATTTCCTAACCATGTGGGTCACTCAACAGTACATAGCAACTTTTTTATGATCTCTTTTTGCAGCCACGTTTACTGTCTATACCCAACATAAAAATGCAAATCTTTTATTCCTATTCAATTCTATTCCTATGTTCCGAGAATCCAAATTCATTTCTATGTTCCTTGAAAAGTTTTTTAATGCCTTCTTTTTTTGTTTTTTGAATTTAACCTTTTAAATTTTTAATTATCGAAACCTATTTCTCACGTCAAATGGATCACCTTGTTAACTTTTAAATTTCAAAGTTATTATTCATTCCAATTTAAGGTGAATTTTGTTGGAGTAAAGAAAATAACAGTATACGAACCTAATATAGTGGAGATAATACAAAATATTTACTGCAGTAAAGAAAATTACTTTTTTCTTAATAATATATTACTATCAAAAATACAACATCATACAAACCTAATATTGTAGAAGTAATACAAGATATTCATTTCCAAAGAAGCAAATATTTTTTTTTCAACAATTTGTAGTAAAAGTAAAATGAATTAGGCACACACAGTGATATGAAGATTAAATTCTGAAATGAACAATAAGCAAACAAAGTTCAACAGTTTAAATACAAGTATTATCAGGCTACATAATTATACCTTACACACAATTTACTGTAATATTGTTGGAGGTATTAGCTATTTTACAATGATATTAAAGATAGATTCTCTAATAAAGTAGAAGAAGATCATATACATTATGCTAATATTATAAAAAAGGAGCAAGGACTTACTGAATTTTTACAAAAGAATAAAATAGACAAAGAAGGATTTAATTGAGATCCAGAGGGTAAAAAGATAAAACGATGAAGTACTACTTAGATAACTATCTATAATTATAGGAATAGAATTGAATTATGATATTAATGAAATGGAATTATTACCATACTGAAAATATAAAATAAAAATTAGATATTTTGATTATTATACCATGCCATTGTCGATCTTATAAAGAGAACGAGAATAATATAGTGATAGCTTAATATAGTTTTAGTCATATTTCATTATACATCCTTATTTCCTTGAAAAAAGTGTCTAACACAAGTTAGTTTATGTATAATCTTGTACGGTTTGAATTCAATTTTTTGTAAGCATTCAATAATATCCGATTAAGGTTTAAAAAAGGTATTTGAAATTGATATTGAAAAAAGATTGTGCATTATGTTCAGACATGAACTTGACTTCAATACAGAAAAAATTTGTGACTGAAATCGTATACTTCTATGAGAAACATAGGAATAGAATTGAATAGGAATAAAAGGTTTGCATTTCTATGTTGGGTATAGACAATAAACGTGGCTGCAAAAAGAGATCATAAAAAAGCTGCTATGTACTGTTGAGGGACCCACATGGTTAGGAAATTGCCATTTCAAAAAGCCGGAAAATTCACGTGGGTCCTGTGAGCAAAACGCAGTATAATATTGCGTTATATGTAAAACGCGGTATTACACTGCGTTTTACTTGAGTCCAAAAAGTTGCCATTTAGGTTTCGGACTCGACCTTCACACCCTCCTATCAAGGGTCATGTCCTCAGTAAGCTGAACCAGCGCTATGTCTTGCCTAATCACCTCTCCCCAGTACTTCTTTTACCTACCTCGGCCTCTTCTCAGATCCGCCATGACCAACCTCTCACACCTTCTAACGGGAGCATCAATGTTTCTTCTCTTAACGTGCCCGAACCATCTCAACCTCAACTCCCGCATCTTGTCCTCCACGGAGGCCACTCTCACTTTGTCCTGAATAACTTCATTCCTAATCTTATCTCTCTTGGTACATCCGCTCAACCATCTCAACATCCTTATTTCTGCTACTCTAATCTTCTACACATAGGAGTTCTTTACTGGCCAACACTCAGCCTCATACAGCACCGTCAGTCTAACCACTGCTCTGTAGAATACCCTTAAGTCTTGGCGGCACATTCTTATCACATAGAACACCGGATGCGAGCCTCCATTTCATCCATCCCGCTCTACTACGATGTGCGACATCCTCTTCAATCTCCCCGTTATCTTGGATTATAGACCCGAGATAACTTGAGTATCAAGCTTCACATCCACGTCCGCTTCATAAGTCCCGTTACTGAATTTGCACTCCAGGTATTTTGTTTTGGTCCTGCTCAACTTGAAACCTTTTGATTCCAATATTTGTCTCCAAACCTCCAACCTTGTGTTGACCCCACTGAGCGTCTCGTCGATTAGCACTATGTCATCAGCAAATAACATGCACCATGGCACCTCCTTGGATGTGCCACGTCAGTACGACTATCGCCAAGGCAAATAAAAATGGGCTAAGAGCCAAACCTTGGTGCAATCCCATAATCCCATCATAACTGGAAGTGTTCTGAGTCACCTCCTACAGTCCTCACCCGAGTCTTAGCACCATCATACGTATCCCTAATTACCCTAGTGTACGCCACCAGAATGTTGCTGACCTCCAAACACCTTCACAGTACCTCCCTATAGATAGTATGAAAATATAAGGATTAGAAAAGCATATGATCTAGATGGTATCCCTATAGAGGTTTTGAAATGTCTTTGGAGGGGTTAGAGTAGTTAGCAAATAATCTAAAATTATACTAAGAAATGATAGGATGCCCAAAGAGCGGAGAAAGCGTACCTTGATCTCAATATACAAGGAAAAAAAGAGATCTCCAAAGTTGTGTGAACTATCATTGTTTATCTCAAGAGCGATAGTTAACCAGTTTGGATTTATGCCTATAAGTGCCAGGAAAAGTCCTTTGGCGGGTGTTGAATAAAACATTCATGATAAATATATATGCCATAAAAGATGTGCATGGAGGAGTCGTCACTATCAAGAACAGGTGGTAAGAGATAAAAAGGAGTTTTCCGTAACCACGGGTTTACACCAATGATCGACATTGAATCTGTACTTGCTTACCTATTTATGGACAAGCTAACTAACAATACAAAGGCTGAGGTATCACAACATATGTTGTTTGCTGAAGATATTGTGCTAATTGACCAAACTAGCAAGGAGGTCAAACAAAAGTTGAACTATGGAGAAGTACAATAGGGAGTAAGAGTTGTAAGTAAGTACACGTAAGGTTGAATATACGCAATGCAAGTTTAGCCTACATAAGGAGAGCGAAGTCAAGGTACGATTAAACAAAATTGTAGTGCCTACATACGAACAATTCATATGTATACTTTGATGTTCGAGCCAAATGCAATGATGGATGAAAATGTTATACATAGAATCAAAATGGGTGATTTTTTTAATCAAGTATAAAATTTATTAATAATGGGCAAAAAATACTCGTATACAAGAATGTAGAAAACCTCACAAAAATATGGTTTTCTACCAACGACACCTGATCATCTATACCTACAACAACCTCGTGGGTGCACCAAAAATAAATATGGGAAAATAGAGCTATTCCCCAAGTGTACAAAAATCCTTCTCTATAATAGGATGGTTAAAATGGAGAAATGCTACTAAAGTGTTATGTGATAGAAGGACATACAAAAGTGAAAGGCAAGGTATATAAAACAATTGTAAGACCAATAACACTACATGGGGGTGAATGTTTGGCCTTTATAGCCAAATTAGTACCGCAAAGATACAAATTTTAATATGAATACGTAAACATAAGATTAGACAAGATTAAAAATGACCACACATGGAAAAAGGTGCAAGAACAAATCAATGCATTACTTGATTAGTGATATTTATTGAATAATCATATGTGGTAATTCTTCTGTAAAACTGAAGCGTGCACGAGCACAAGGAATATCTTCTACTTGGAAAAACAATTAGCTGCTTAAGAATAGATCATCAAGGAGTTCTCAACCCAAAAAAAAGTATATTAAAGTCACCTGAAAATTCTGTGCAGCTAGAGGGTCATTTGGATTTTTATCAGGATGAACCTGCCGTGCCTGTACCACAAAGGTTAAGTTAGAAGAAAAGAAGTCATTACATGGAAAGCTAGAATGGAAGCAGAGTCAAGAATGAAATTATATAGTAAAAGGTGATTTCTAGCATAAGCAATGGAAACTAAAATTAGGAGTTTATAACTCTCCAAACTTGTCTCCATTTAGTTCCAACTCTTTTCAAGTCTATGAGCTACAAATTTTAATCTTCATCACTTGTTTTTTTTTTTTTGGTAGTTGTGGGTGATATGCTCGAGGGTCTATCGGACACAGCCTCTCTGCCCGTCCAGGGTAGGGGTGAGGCTGCGTACATCTTACCCTCCACAAACCCCGTGGGAATGCACTGGTTCGTTGTTGTTGTTGTTGTTTGTGGGTGATATGCTCATTCATGAGGCTATGAGTTCAAAAAATGAACAAAACCTAAGGAAATAACAAAAAACAAAACCATAACTGCTTGTGGGTAAATCATAATCAACTTATTCAAGTTAACAACTGGAAGCAGCAATAAAGAGCATAAATACATAGCTAGGTGAAGGCCCCAAGTTTCCGAAGTATGAATCAACACTATGACTTCCACATTGAAAAATTATACTCAAAATATTATGGAAATCAGTCTCCAAATCAGATTGTAAAGTCCACAGTTACTCCTTTGTTTATGAGTCGATAAGGTACGACATATAGCTGACGATTTACTCCTCTTTACCAAATATCCAACAGGCTAAACCTGGAAAAAGGAACTAAAACCACTGTCCATTTGATTAACCTTACACTGATAATCAAAAAGTCACTTTAATACCGAAAATGGTAAGAGAAGAGAAGTTAACATAATTTACCATTCACCAAGTTTATTCCCTCAAATTTGATGGCATCATATATAGTGAGAAAAAATTAAATGTACAATGACATGAGGTTCAACATGGAAATGCTATTCAAACTTTTGGAGTCTTAGTCTTGAACTCAACGCACATGTATCACATATAAAAGATGCCTTAAATTGAGGCTTCGTCCTCAAAGTTCACTACAATCCTTACAAGAATAGCAAAGCTCTATTTCTTGCATGCTCCGTTCCATCCATTTATAACCAAGACCTACATCGTTTTTGTGGACAGAATTTGTAATAGGAACTCTTCTACCTAAAATACCTAGACTTTATCCATTTTTTTGTTAATAAAGCTTCATTATTGTAATTATATAATCCACTCCTGATCAACTCACCAAATTCTCTCCACCTCTCTATGTTACTTGTCGTTCTTCGGAGCGCCGACAGGATTCTTGTGTGTGAGTGTGTGTTGATAAGTAACAGACAAGATTATGTATACTTGCTTAATAAAGAATCTTACTTTTTTTATAACCGGTTCGCGAGGGCAAGTGGCGCACCGTTCATATCCGATGAGAATGGGCTCATTGCCTCATCCCTCCACCCTTCTCCACTTAAGTACCAGGCTTTTATATGTGGCAGGATTAAACATGTGATGTGCCTTTAGCCCGCACATCACGAGTTGCACTCTTAGTCTCTTGCCACTAGACCAAAGTCATGGGGCAAGAAATCTTACTTCTTGTATCCATTTTAACTGTGCTGGGTTAAAAGGTAGCTTCAATTTCAAACACAAAACCTCTCAAATATAACTCGTTAACCGTCTAATTATCCGCTTTCAGCTTGAACTAGACAAGCAAGTGCGCATAGAAAAAGATCCTTTTAATTGTACTTAAAACTCTAGCCATAAAGTGTATTAACAAATTCAAAAAGAGAAATTGAAAAGGGTAAATGCAAATAACAAGAGCACTAGAAAATAAAATAAATACGTAATTCAGAGTATTACCTTAATGTAATATGCTTTTTTGATCTCAGATTCGGTGGCCGTAGGGCTGACTCCCAAAATGTCATAGTATTCCGTCTCCTTCACCATCGATCTCAATTTTTTCAATTTTTTCCCTTCAAATTGATCAATTGATTGAACCAATTAACCGATAAGATTTGAAACTGAAGCCCTTAATTAACTGCTATCAAGTAAAAAGGGGATCGAAAAACAGATTGAGCACGAAATAGCAATCATGTAAAAAATTTAAGAAAAAAAGATCGATCGTTTGATGTGCAAACCGAACAGAAGGGATAAATTTTCAGAGTTTAAAGATGATGAAGAAATCGCAACATCAGAATTGATAAGTATGGATGGTCCTCCTGTTTGACCCTGGCTTCCGTTTGCGTTGACTAAATGCGCTATGCCAGATAGGACGGGTCCAGGTGAACCTTGGATTTCGTAATTTCAGGGTTTTCCGCGTTAAATAAGTTAGGCATTTGGAAATAAAAAATTGTAATTTTTGAAGGAAAAAAAATATATCTGAAGAAAAGTTGAGAAAGTATTTGAAATTTTAAATTATGTTTAGATATTGCATTTCATTTGAGAAATATTATAATTACATGGAAGAAAATTAAGTTTTACTTGAAAAAAAAAAGGATAGAATTTACTTTTTCAAATTTTTACTCATCTTCAAAAAATTCAAAAATTTAGTCCAATTTATAATCAAGCAATGTTTTGAAGATGAATTTCGAAAAAAAAAAATTATGAATAAACTTGTCCTAAATTTCAGGATAATTAATTTTGTGAATAGTTTAGACGTTAATAATTCGTGATATTTTAGTTATTCTACCACATTATAAGACCGGCAGATTAATGTTAAAAGTTGTAAACAGCGACTTTAAAGTAAAACTCATCTAAAATTATGTCCAAGAATTTGCAATGTTGTTGTATTGTTTAACCGTGGCATTTTTGTTGAAGTTGATTGGTTATAAATGCATGCGTGACTTCACTTAAAAGATGCATAGACAATAGCTTGATAGCAATATAAATTAACTAAAACAAATATAATAACAATGACGATAACTAAAAAGTTAAGTAGTTATGATTCTTTACACGAACCAACACAATAAAAATAAAATTTTAAGTTGGACTAATCTTATAAATGTAAGCTTTATATTGTTCATACATCCCAAAAGAAAAAAGGAAAAGGGCCAACTATGAAACCGGTACAAAAATATTCTTTGTTAACCTGTCGAGGTAAAAATACTCACACGGTTAATTTAGTTATGCCTATAACACATGGTAATTAGAAGTGATTTATATAATATATTTATATTTAAAAAAAAGAATTAAATAAAGTAGTTGAAGCATGTCACTGTGTATGTTATATATCACGTGACCGTACTTTGTGTCACGACCCCAAAACCAATCCAGTCGTGATGGCGCCTATTATGGAACTAGGTCAGCCGACACATTTTCCAAAACAGTTTAACAGTTCATTAAAAACGTAATAACAACCTTTTTCAACTGAAATTCCATATAAGATATAAAATCGAAAACCAAAATGCGGAAAATAAAAGCCCGACCTCGGGTGTCACTAAGTCATGAGCAATGCTACAATTGTTCTGAAACATAACAAGACCAAAAT